TGGGGGGATAGTAGAGGATAGGAAAGATAGCAGAATACAACAGTCACTAGTATGGCAATATGTAAAAATGTGGATGTGTAACCAATGTGATTCTGTAATCTGTATATGGGGTAAAAATGGGAGTTCATAACCCACTTGAATCAAGTGTATGAAATATGATATGTCAAGAGCTTTGTAATGTTTTGAACAACCAATAAAAAAAAGAATATTACTCCCCTCTCAATGATCAGGGATTGTATATTAAAATAATAAAAAATAATAAAATGTTAAGGGCTGGGGATATAGCTAGTTGGTAGAGTGCTTGCCTTGCATGTCCCTGTGTTCAATCCCAACATCATTAAAAAAAAAAAAAAAGGTTTTGGGGAAATTCTAAGTATAGTAGTGGGGGAGGGAGAATGGGATAGAGGGTCTTAGGTTGGTAAACTACCTCACTTTTTAAGAATGCCTTGAGCTGGGTACAGAGTTACACACTGTAATCCTAGTGATTTGGGAAGCTGAGGCAGGAGGATTGCAAGTTTGAGCCCAACCTTGGTAACTTAGCGAGGTCCTATGCAATTGCTAACTTTACAAAGAATCTGTCTCAAAATCAAAAAATTAAAAGGGCTGGGGATGTAGCTCAGGGGTGAAGTGACCCTGGGTTCAGTCCCCAGTACCCCTCCCTGCTCACACACATACAAAAGAAAGAAAGATAAAAAAGAATTCCCTGAAATATTAACACACCAAGAGGTTGGCACCAACCTACTGTATTAAATTAACTACATTAAATGAAATGGGAACTTTAGCTCTGTGATGGCAGGAACCTCATTTCAAGTGCACAGAGGCTGCAGGCAGCTATGGTCTCATTTCCTGGTGCAGGTGACAGTGTCCCTCCAGGCAGAGGGCACTTTTAGGGGATTGGGTGACTCTTCCTTTGGTTTGCACTTTACAAAGAATCTGTCTCAAAATCAAAAAATTAAAAGGGCTGGGGATGTAGCTCAGGGGTGAAGTGACCCTGGGTTCAGTCCCTAGTACCCCTCCCTGCTCACACACATACACTTTCAGGAGGAGCCCCTCAGGTGAAAGCCCTGGGTGTCTGTGTTTCTTTAGGGGAGACCTGGCTGTCAGAAGGTGGCAGTAGTGCTCACCATAGGTAAGCTTTGGGGCTTTGGTTTCTAGTACAAGAAGTGAAGAGGTGGATGGTAGCCCATGGTCAACCCTCTCCCTCCCTACCGAGCCTGCAAAGCTCCCTATGTGTCTGGGTTTTAGATATGCTGTTGTTTGAGGAGGTAATGGTGACAGGATAACTCTGGGGGAGTTAAGAGAGTTGGGTTCCCTGAGTTATGAAGAAATTGAAACATTTGGGAGGAAAACACCAAAGTAAATTCAATGGAGCATTAGTTTCATTGTGGGAAGCAGATCTGGGTGTTCCTCTGGAGGACAAATTGCCCTTCTCTTTGGGACCAAGTAGATGATCATAAGGCCCAATGGAAGCAGACAGGAGAAATGACTTTTACATTGAATTGGGTATTATGGTTTGGATAGGAGATGTCCCCTCATAGTTCCTGTGTTAATGCAGAAATGTTTGAGGGTGAGATGATTAATTGCGAGAGCTGTAACCTAATTGGTCCATCCAAGTTTGAATGGACTAATTGGGTGGTAACTTGTAAGCAGGTGGCTGGAGGGGGAAGGCCATTGGGGGCATGTCCTGGAAGTGTTTGTCTTTCCTGTGGCCCTTTCCCTTCTCTCTCTCTGCTTTCTGGGCACCATGAATGGAGCAGTTTCAATCTACCACATCCTTCTGCCATGATACTTTGCCTCAGATACTTCAGGCCCAGAATAATGAAATTGGCTCACCAGGGATTGAACCTCATAAATCATGAGCCCCAAATAAACTTTTCCTACTCTAAATTGCTCATCGGGTATTTTGATGATAGCAATTAAAAGCTGACTAATGCACTAGGAGTTGGGAATTAGGCCAGGGTATGGGTAAGGCCCAGAACAGGAAAGAAGGGTAAAATCTCACGAGGTAGGAGCCCTGCAAGATGGATCTCTCAGAGGCCAGGGGGTAGGGCAGGGTGCCTGGGAACAAGGAAGGAACAGGCTGTATACTAGGTACCTGATCTCTGAAACAGAATGCTCATGTAGGAGGGTGGGGTCAGTCAGGTGTGTTGTAACAATTACTTGGTGATGTTCCAACCAGGTGACTTGCATCACACCAGAAGTGAGAAATGGTGACTAGAGCTCAGGTCAATAAGCTTATCAATAAATTCCTACTAAGAGACACAGAGGTGGTCATTCACCATTGTCCTCCCTGGAACCCAGATGCTTGACCACTAAGTGTGCCAGAAGGGTAAGGCTGCTGGCCACCTGAAGCTCACCTGTGGGGTCTTTTCTCCTTGTAGTAGCCCAAGGGGTGGGTGATGTAGTAGAGAAGACATGAGTCTAGGGGAATTCTGTAACTTTGAGGGTATCCCAGTGGCTCTGGGGCTTAGCCTCCTTTGTGAAGAGAGACCATCACTGTGTGACCAAGAGGGGCTCTACCTGGCTCCTAGGCTGGTTCCTAGGCCAGAGGTCCACGATAAAACTAAGCTGCAATTACTTTGCAAGCCTCTCTAGACTTTGGTACCCAAAGAACTTGACCTTTTGTCTTCAAGAAAGTTGTACATTTCTAGTGTCTCCTACACATAGAACTTTGTGGGCATGTGGTCTGTGGAGAACTGTCCTTCATAGCATGCCCTCTGTGAAGTCTCTGGGGCTATTCTTCACAGCATGCCCTCCAGTATGACATTCCCCAGTAGCCTTGAAAGCCTTCACAAAAGGTCTCCCAGGATCAAAACAACAAAATCTGCTTCCATTCCATGAGCACCAGAGCTAGGGTTGGTGGGTCTTGGTGTGAC